TACTCAACGGCTTTCGTCAGCCTCTAAGTACTTTTCTCAAGCACTTATTTATTTAACCATTGAGGAATGATTTGAAATAGTCTATTCCGATGTTGAGTTAATTTTGTTTTTTTTTGCTGTGAAAATACATATGCTCTGTTGAAATAAAAACATCGAGTTCTCTGTGGATCAGTTTTAATAATTAATATTACTAGGATCCACCCGGATTATATACCAACGGATCGATTACCTGTACTATACATACATACATATATATATATATATATATATATATATATATATATATATATATATAAATGTGTGTTTGTGTGTGTATCTACCTGATATTTTGTGCATCTTCAATGATAATACATAGCATATTTCAATCAATTTCATTTTTGCCTAAGGCCTTTTTAAAGTCGATCTTATTTCGAAACCTTATAATTAGGAAGCGGAAAATCTGTTTGGCCCAGCTGTACACAAAACACTTCTTAATCTTCAACTTTATTTTAATTGGCTCTCATCATGACAGTCTCGACATTCACAATATGCCATCATTTTCATAAAGGGCATTGATCAGCATTAGCATCACCATGATCATTAGAACGAATTCATTAAACCACCCACATTCCCTTCATATTCTATAGGTGAGAAGTAAGTTCCACTCGGACAGCTTCTTCCCGCGAACCACTGCCCTGTGGAACTGACTCCCAACAGGAAGTTTTCCCGATCACTACAATCTTAACCTGTTCAAGTCTAGGGTTAACCAGTGCTATACACACAAATGGCCTCCTAACATAACCCTCTACCTTGAGTAGCCCCCAGGCCTCGTAAAGGGTGATCCATACTGTAAAAAAAACCCCTTTATTTTACCATTATCTTCTAAGAATGGGGTTTCCCATTTCTTCTTATTTTTCTCCCAAACTCTCTTCTCTTGTGTGCTTTCAATTGCAACTGTGAACTTTTCTATATCTCCTCTATACCGAACCATATTTTGTGAAATTCACCTTCTTTGTTGACACCATTATTCTTCGTTTTGATTATTGTTTAGAGATTAATTATTGATAAAAGAGTCATCACACATGAACGTCAATAGGGCCGCCGTGTGCAAATAAACACATGTTCGACATCATAACAATTTATGATGATCTCTTCAAACAGACTCTGGTTGGAGATTCTGGTCTTTATCCAAACAATCTAATTTCAATTTGCTAGCGATCACATGCAAGAAATCACGGCATCAGTTCTGAACACTGACTTTCACTTATTCCATTAGGCGATCGAAGACCTAATCAATATTCATAAGAAACTGAACCGACTCTCACTCATAGGATAAAGGTTTTGAATGTGATATTCAAACTTTTAAAGCCAAACTAGTTGAAATTTATGTAAAATTTGCAAAACTCAACAATTTTCAGGTGAAAAAATACTTGAAAGCGATCCGAATAGGGGTATGCATTAAATAAGGATTAAAAAGTTTAAAACCACATGAAAATGGCTTTATTAAAATTCTTAAAATGAAATGCTAGTCAAATGAATGCAGAATGGGCTTTTGTCATATACATTTATAAATAGTAACTCTTTTTCGCGGTCAAATTCTCCGTGTAAGAAAGCCCACTCGAGATAAAGAATTACGTTAAGGGGAAGTTTATATGGATAGAAGGGGAAGATAATGTGTAATTCTTGACGTTTAATTTTTAATTAATATTTCTGCTTGATGAAAAGTTTTGAAAGTGGTTGTAAATCGTTTAATAAAGGTTTTTTTTAATGAATATATAATTTAATTGAGATTGATTGATTATCTGGAAAAAAAGAGAATTTTTGTTAATATTATCAATATATTGTTTACTTACCTTTGCGCAGCACTGTATATATTACTTCAAAGGTTATTATAGTGGATACTCGTATTTAAAAAAGACGACCCATTTTTATTTTAATTTTAAACTGTGTGCATTATTGAGAAATTTTAATAAAGAAAATGTGATCTCCAGCAGGGACCGAATCTGTGTCCTCTTTTGTAGTAGAAAGCACCGTTTAATCCGACGTGCTTTGAACTAATAAAATGCCGGATTAAAAATAAATCTATCTATCTATCTATCTATCTATCTATCTATCTATCTATCTATCTATGTATATGATTAAGATAAGTAAAAATTTGCCATTTAACTGGTTGATGTTTTATATATATATATATATATATATATATATATATATATATATACACACACAAACAAACAAACATATATATATATATATAATTTAATTATGAATTCAATCTTTGGTAAAAGAAAAAATGATATTCGTCAAAAGTACGGCTAAATACAATTTTCATAAAATTTAGGGTAAGTTAAAATATCCGAAATATCTTGGTAGAAATCGTGGGGTCAGTAGAAGGTCAGTATTTCGGATATATATATATATATATATATATATATGTTTGTATTAATAATTATGTATGTGCTTGGTTATATATTATGCGCTTGTATGGGTATGGGTGCGTGTGTGTGTGTGTGTGTGTGTGTGTGTGTGTGTGTGTGTGTGTGTGTGTGTGTGTGTGTGTGTTGGGCACCTCAACGTGGTGTAATGGTTATAAAGCTTGTCTTGCTAGATCAATTACGACTGAGTAGTGAGTTCGATCCGCACTGGGTGCCCCATACTTTCGGCCTTGTACCATATCTAAGCCGGGCTTAGAAAATCACTATATATATGTGTGATGTGTATATCTTAGTGGTTTTGAATGGATTATCTATGCTAACTATAATCTACTTTTGTGTGATAGTAATTTTAAAATTGCTTGTGGACTTAATAATCAACAGTTGTGTTTTTTTGTTACACTTTAATCTTGTATGGACCCTGAATCTTTTATACTATAGTCATTTGGATAATATTATTAGTATATTATTATTTTTTTTAGTTAGTCAATTTCTATTTATTTTTATGGGTGTATTTACATAGATTTTGTATCAGCGCTTGTATGACGGTGTGTTAGCTTATATTTTATGTTGCTGCGTAGGTTGATATATTTATTTCTATGTGTGTGCATATATGCGTATGCGTATGTGTATGTATATGTATGTATGTATGTACATTTATCTATGTATCTATTTGTATGGATGCATATGTGTATACATACGTATGTATTGTTATATGTTTGTACTCGTGTATGTGTACTCATGCGTATATATGAGATATTTGTATATATTTGTGTGTTTATGTGTTTTCGTTTTTTTATATATTATCTGGTTTTATTTTATTTTTAAGTGTTACATTTTGCCTGGCCATTTAAATTTCGTGTTTTTATGTCTGCGTATGCGTATATATTTATTTTTTTCTGTCTATTTCTAATTGTCTTTTTTCTTTGTCTTGTTTCTTTGTCTTTTTTCTTTGCCTTGTTCATTGCCGAATATTTGTTTTTCTATTCTACCTTTCTAAAATTTTATTTATTGAACTCTCTTTTTATCTATATATCTTTGCCCATGTAAATAATATTTTTGTTTGCATTCGTTATCATTTCAAATATTCGTTTACTAACACTTTCAAATTTGAAATTAACATAGTTAATTATCTATCTATCTATCTATCTATCTATCTATCTATCTATCTATATATATATAAATTATCACGCCATTTAAGGTTAACGAGAAAATGGACTGCCTAGGTACGTATTACCAGACCATTCTTTAAAGAACTCCCCATTTATCCTAATCCCAGTGTCCATTTTTCTTTTCAAAACGATTTTGAAAACCCTTTTTGAGTTGCAAGGAGCCAACTATGTATTACGAGATGATGTTTCCTCAGACTCAGAGAAACGATACGTTCGCTCATTGTGCTTGCATCAGTTACACAGTACTCGCTTCATGATTAATCCGACGTGAGAGATTCTGTTAAAAATGCACAGTAATATCCTCTCTGGATAGCTGTCAAATTGCATCAAGCCCGCGCAACCAGTTCCCTGAATATTCAAAATGGACGAGTTTTAAGAATCTATAAATGACAATGTCTTTTGCTGTACATATAAAGACCTATTGTTATATATTTCCAAGAGGAAAGCCCAACCAACGTAGAGAAGAACAAAAGTACAATATGACAAGCCGGATATTATTAGGTTTCTATATATTTAGTATAGTATAATGTTAGAAGCATAACTTCGTATTAAGAATCTCAGTCTTTTCAAGAAGATTATAGTTAAAATAGATTATAGCTATAAAAGGACATCAAGGATGATACTTATGTTAAATCGATTGCGAAAACCTAGCTCTTTGTAATGACCATAAGCAAGCAAGTGTATTTCTGAGAATATTTGCTTTCCCAGCCAATTGCTATTTTAAAATAAAAGTCACTTTCATAAAGTCTAAGAAAGCAACACATTTTCTCAAGATTATACTTCTAACATTATACTGTAATAAATATATAGAAACCTAATAATATCCAGCTTATCATATTGTACTTTTGTTCTTCCTGATGTTGGTTAGGCTTTCCTCTTGGAATTATATAACTTAGTTAAATTAGCAGTTCTTTTGACGAATATAATGTTTTACCAAAGATTAAATTCAAAATTATATATATATATATATATATATATATATATATATATATATATATATATATATATATATATATATATATATTTATATGAAATGGATTAAATCCGACATATCATTTTTTAATTTATTTTGCGTTATTTTTATGGATACCCAAATTTGAGTAGAAGCTCTGTTTTTAATTTAACAGTTTCTTTTTTTTTTTTATCTAACTGCATCTACCGGCCTGAAATATGCGTCCTTCGGCAGAATTGAAACCTGCATCCCCTGTAGGGAACCGTCATTGGATCTGACGTTCCTGATTTGAAGTCCTACGTGGCCGAACGGTCAAGCACGTCAGATCCAATGACGATTCACCATAGGGGATGCAGGTTCGAATCCTGCCGGAGGACGCATATTTTTCTGACAAGATTTCTCGAGTACCAAACCGGAATTGGAACTCGGCTCTCGAATTATCCATTACGCAGCCTGAACATCTAGCTTACAGTACCTGGTATTCCCAAGCGGTCAGCCATCTAGATACTAACCAGGCTCGACGCTGGTTTACTTCGGTGATCGTACGGTAACCGGCCGTAAGATATGAAATAATGCATTTACTTAACTTTTCTCAGTTGTTGTCTGGCATGGACCCATGGGGATCGAACATGGATAAATGGCGCTGTTTGAACAGTATTTTTTTAGTTAACTGCATCTACCGGCCTGAATATTTGAGAAATCTTGTCAGAAAAATACGTGCCTCCGACAGGATTCGAAACTGCATCCCCTGTGGGGAATCGTCATTGGATCTGACGTGCCTAACTGCTCGGCCACAAAGGACTTACGGTCAAACAAAGCACGAATTTTTGAACACACATTCTCTGCCCATTCTCGAAACATCCATATCTGCTCTCTGTCATATCCAAACATAAACAAATACGAGTATCCACTATAATAACTGTTATGGTCCAGGTTAGGACCAAGGAAGAACAACACGTACACAAGAATTACTACTACGGGCAGTAACAATTAAAGGACTAAATTCTGAAAATGAAGCGGCATTCTCGCAAAATGTTATATGGAGCTCAATCAAAGACTTTACTTATGCACCGGACGAAGACAAAACCTTCGCGGCTTACTTCAGAAGATATGAAGATTCATATGAGTTTGATTGCGGGAATTGGTCAGACGTGAAAAAAGTACGTCTACTACTGAGGAAACTAGGGTCAAGCGAATACACTAAATTCGTAGACTACATCCTACCGAGGAAAACGAATCGAGTCGAGACGATAGTAGTTCACTCCAAACCAGACTGACAGTCATACTAACACCTTCCACATCTTGTATTATTATTTCGTGTAATATACCTTCGTTATTTCTACTCTTGTGTTCGTGTTGTTCTTCCTTGGCCCTAACCTTGACCATAACAATAACCTTTGAAGTAACATATACGGTGCTGCGCAAGCGTAAGTAAACAATATATTTAAAAAAATGTCTCTTTTTCCAGATAATCAATAAATCATAATTAAGAAAAAATTAATTAAGAAAAACCTTTATTAAATGAATTACAATCACTTTCAAAACTTTTCATCGTGCAGGATTAAAAATATTAATCAAAAATTAAAAATCAAGTGTTAAAGGTTATCCTCCCCTCACTATACATATAAACTGGCCCTTAACGAAATCCTCTACCTTGAATGGGCCTTGTACATTGTGAACCTTACTGAAAAAAAACAAAAAAAACAAAGTACTACTTAAATGTACAGAGAATTTGACCGCGAAAAACAATTAATAACTAAAGTAGGGTATTATTTATAAAAGTTTCCAGCAAAAGTCTATTCTGCATTCACGCTTTTTAAAAAATTAAAATCGCTTTGATAAACGAAGTCTAGAAAGCAACATAATTTTCTGGACATTATGCATTAACGCGTCTGAAAAAGTGGATCTGAAATCTTAGAGTGAAATACCATGTTGATAAGGGAAATCAGCTGATTTGTTAAGTGCGAAAGTCACACAAAATGTCTAATGCAGTGGTTCCCAAACAGTGAGGTGCGGCGAAAGAAGATAGCAGGTGAGGCGGAATGATTGAAAGACAATCAATGATTTAGAAACAGTTTTAAAATATTCATATGCCAAAAATAAATATGATTTCAAAATTTAAAATATTATCATGGATTACCTGTAATTGCATGCATGAGTCGCAGTATAAATAGTTATAAATAATTATTGAGCGATCTTATCATGATATTTTTACATTATATCAAGTATTAAGAATATAGTAACTAAGATCCGCAAATTGGAGAAGAGAGTTATCAATGATAATGTTCTGATTTTGAATCCGCGGTTATCTCCTTTTAATCTGGACCTTCTTCTTTACCGTAGGGCTGCTTGCGCGTTTTCAGTTCTGGATTTTCTGTTCTGACAAAGATCAAAAATCAAAAAAAAAAAAAAAAAAAGAAAAAAGAAAAAGATTCTTTGTGAGATGAGAGATGTGAACTCAAATTAAGCCTAATATAAAGGAGATTACCCGTCAAAAATAAGCTCATACCTTTCATTAAATTTGTCTATTTTAATCATATTATGAGTTATTTGTGCTATATATTGTGTTATATATTATATTTAACGCACTATTAGTCGTTGTTTTTAGTGTTAGTTTTAAATGTACATTTTTTATGACTTAAAATTTGGTGAGGGGCAAGCAATCTGCATTCCAAAAATGCGACCCAGCGAAAAAAATGTTTCGGAACCACTGGTCTAATGTATATCTTATTACATGAATACAGGAGTGAAAGTTGCCTTCATGGTTAAAGGAACATTACAGATGGTGATGGATGAGGAAGCATTTGGATGAAGGAAGCTAAATACTTCTTGAGATTTCTTGCAGTAACATTTTTCATTGCAGCTAATCGTTCCAGAGAATCCCATAAATTTAACATTAAGGTCTAAAGACTGTCCAGGTTTTAAAAAATTAATTAATTTTTTTTTATAATTTTGTAAAATTTCTTTAACAGATTTAACAGAACAAGCAGGATTATTATCCTGTTGCTATGTTACTGGATTAGGATAAGGAAGCTGTCAGATTAAGAAAATGAGATCCTTTTTTTTTTAGAATTTCTTCCTTGCAGTAACTGACAATGACACTTTTATTTTTAAAAAAATCAATGATTCAATATAATTGACTAGTGAAACAGCCGCAAACATTCATACCAAACAGTCATACCAAACAGTCATACCAAACATTCATATCAAACTTCCAAGTTTCCTTGAATTTTTTAGTTGATCTTCTTGTAATGTCTTTCTGAAAGCGGTAACATTTTCGAAGAAATGAGTTTTTGTTCTTGTAGAGGGAAATAAATTTCTTTCTATCAGCAATGTTCTTTTTAGACAGTTGAGGCTTTCTTGTACAAACCATATTTGAGATGTCAAATTCTTTTAGAGACACTTTTTCCTTCGATGGAAGTAAATTCTTGGACAAAGTGATTGTCTGTTTCCTGTCAGTAAAAGCCAGTTTTTTTTTCTGGGCCAATATTTTTATCTTTTTGGTTCTATGAATGATGGTCAATAGAATAAATTCTTTTTCCTTTTTTTCTTGATTGTCATGAAGATATAACCTTTCTCATAAAACGAGAGAATCTCCTTTTCTTCGAGTATGAAAACTGTTTACTTACTTTTATTGGCATCATCAAATCTAAAATTGATTAGAATTTTTGCACTCAATGCAAAAAAAAAAAAAAAATTAATAACTGCATCATAGGCTAACAATCTGAATAAGTTAACTTTCTCGCTTTTTGTTTAAAAATCGAAAATTAAAACAGTTGAAGTTAAAATAATTATCACAAATTCCCTACAGAATTCGACTACCTGAAGCCGTCCTGAAATTGATTCATCATCAGAAAAAAAAATAGCTGTAGTAGATGTTTAAATTAGCAGAAAAACGATGTATCAGGTCATCCCATAAGTTCTGTCCGAATTTTAACTTTTTGTTAAAATGAACGAAATTTAAAGAGTATTTTATAATGTTTAATGGAGCTGAACATTATTTTTAGGTTTAGATGCATTTAAACTGATCAAATTTTATTTCAGAGAACAATAAAATTAAATTTCGTTTGATTAAAACCCTGCTAACATGGAAGTACCCAAGAATCATTTGAGGCACATAATGCTTTATGAGTTCAAAAAAAGGAAACTCAGCAGCTGAAGCGGCTAGAAACATTCACTCAGTTTATGGAGAGGAATATGTGAATGAAAGAACTTGCAGAAGATGGTTTGCAAAATTCAGAGGTGGAGATTTCACCTTTGAAGATGAAGATCGAACCGGACGTCCAGTTGAGTTTGATGAAAAGCTTCTTGAAGCAGCCCTTGAAGAAAATCCTGCTTTATCAGTGGTTCTCAGTTCAAACCATACATCGTCATCTTCAACAACTTGGAAAAGTTCCTAAACTTGGAAAATGGGTGCCTCATTAATTGTCTGAAAACAACCTCAAATCCCGAGTTGACATCTGCTCTTCTCTCCATTCTTGCCAACTTGTTTCACCTTTTTTGGATAGACTTGTGACTGGCGACGAAAAATGGATCTTTTATCGAAATGTTAAGCGTCGTAGACAGTGGCTTGAAGTAAAGGGAAGGACCCCAGCCACAGCCGAGAAGGCAACTTCATGGGCAAAAGGTTCTTCTTTCAATCTGGTGGGATCGCCAAGGAATAATCCACTTTGAATTCTTACTACCTAATGCAACAATTAATGCTCAAATATACTGTCAGGAATTAAAGCATTTGAACCAAGCTTTGAGGAAAAAAAGATCTGCTCTAGTGAATTGAAAAGAGGTGATGTTTCATCAGGACAATGCGCGACCCCACACAGCAAGAATCACGTCACAAAAGATCGAAGAACTTGGTTGGGAGAAAATTCCTCATCCACCTTATTCTCCCGATCTTGCTCCTTCAGACTACCATCTGTTTCGTAACTTACAGAATCATTTGGAAGAAACAGCTTTTGTAACACAGGAAGAGGTTAAAACTGACATTTGTGAGTTCTTCGAATCAAAGCCAAAAGAATTTTACAGTAATGGAATTAGTAAGCTTGTTAATAGATGGAAGGAAGTCATAGGTAATCAGGAAAATGCATTGTTGATTGAATGTGTAATTAAATGTAACATTTGGTCACTTGTTTTCTTTATTCAAAATTCGGACAGAACTTATGGGATGACCTGATAATTGACCAGTTTGGATTTTTTTTCAAAAGAAGCGAATCAATAAAGTTTTTTTTTAAATTTTAGCAAAAGCCCCGTGATGATCGTGTATTAAAGTAAAAAAAAAAAAAAACCCAAAACTTTCAGTTAAATGTAAAGACACTGTAAGGGCTATCGGTGCGGAAATTGAAATCGATATGCCGAGTTCAATGTCCGATCGATTCTGTTTCGTCCACTTCTTGTTCACTTGGGAAAAGTGTGAATTCACTTTTATCCAGCTATATGTTAAATAGCAGAGTAGACTGGGTTCTCTTGCTTTGAAGTGGTCTCATAGAAGGAGAAAAATTGTGAATAAAAAACCAGTCTGAAGAGAGATGGGCTCCATCAGGTTATCTTGTCATTACGGCT